CAGGTGATTGACTTTGTAAATCTGATACAACCACTAGTGTTGTATCAGATTTACAACACGGTCGTCACCATTGAGACAACCCAACACTAGCAAAGGTCTCAGTTTTAGTGTCGCATTATAGACCTTCACTAGGTTTTGAAGAAATCAAAGACGGATAACAGAACTCCCTTATGCAACAGATGGCTTGCTTTCCATGTGGGATGGATAATTATTCAAAATGTTCTGTGTTGCAGTAAATTGTGCATGCTTAATAGGGACTAAACTCAGCAGTTACCGTGGTCTTATTTGTCATTTTTCGTCATTTATCTCACTGTAATTCATGTTAATTTGTGTTGGAGTTTTATAAGTCGTTTACAACACGGCCGCTCATGTTGTAAACTATACTTACAAAAATGTTCTAACAGAGAACTTGAATATTGCTTTGAATATACTTTTGAATATACTTTAAGGAATATATTAGGAAGCCAAAAGAATGCTTTCATCTAGAGTGAGATTTTGTCCTTTTTGTATCCATTCCTTTTCACTACACATGATCTCTTCCACCGGCAGATGGATCCCCAATGGAATTCTATATTGTTTTCCCTCAAAACATGTGAGTCAAATATCAGTTTACTGGTAGGTTTTTGCATATTTATATGTCCACATTAATTTTGATGGCTCTAATTTGTTTTTGTCTGCGCCCGGTCTGAACCTCCGATAGTGTTTAATAAAAATGCTTCGATAAGGCTATGGAGACAGTAGTTTCGTCGTCAATTTGTGCAGTGTACCTGAATTTTTTGATACTTTGCTTCTAAAATACTTTAAGTGCACATTTAAGTTCCTATGACTGACGCCTGACACAGTAATTGCTGATTCTCTGATTCTATATAAAGTAAATAATTGAATGGTGAAATATTCCTGCATTTCAGTGTTGCGTCTTCGAGTTTTGAAGGTTTAATTTCACAATATGCTAATGATAAATGGCGTCAAGGGAGGCTTCATTAGATATATGAAATTTTAAACAGTCGCTCAGAAATGTTTTTATGAACGCCATCTGGGAATATGRTTATTCCCTACATTGCCTGCGATAAATTYAATGACATGAAACCATTTTTTAAGCGACWTCTTCAGAGTCAAAACCGTGTCCACATTGAATCAAACGACCTTTCCTTTTCTCTAATGGAACATGTTTACGTAAACTTTATTTGAATTTTTGTGAGTACTTTCTGAATGAACTCCGAAACGGTGTTGGCTTTGATGTTCCCATTGCATTTGCGGCATTGTATTATAAGCAATCACAGCGCTTTGTGCCATTATCTAGTTTTTGCAAACATTCATGCAAACAACCGGTTTGAATATCGGCTCTTMCTCGGAATCTAACCATCMTTTTATATTGAAGGATTTCTCTTTGGACATGTTTTTACGTCAAGAGTGGACCGATGAGAGACTGGACCATGGTACCAATGACACAATGTTTCTAAGCAATCACGTGATGGACAGGGTGTGGCTACCAGATTCTTATTTTGTTAACTCTAAAGACGCCAAGTTTCACACCGTCACAACTGCCAATCGTATGATCATGCTGGGACCCAAAGGAAAAGTGAAATATAATGCCAGGTATTAGGCCAAGTCCAGGGTCAAACATCGACTTAAGAATCTCAACCAACCACAATACAGCGCGTGCTCGTGTAGTTGCTTACATTAAATGCGTCAAGCATATAATAGATTATAGTACCTTTGAGGTACTTAGTTAAAGAGATTTCTCTCCAAACTGAAAAGATGGAATGCGCTTCGCGCTCACTTATAGGAAATCCTACGAATCCGCCATTTTTGTGTCCACCTAAAATGGTCCTTTGGCTCGCAAGGAACATAGCGGTTRGTTGCGATTCTTTAATTCGTCAACAACCAAGAAATAATAAAATTTTGAGAWTGTCCAATGTTAAACAAATTGCGCACKGTTTTGCATGAGTTGTATGTCTTTTATAGGCACACTCTTGACGTCATAAAATATCGCTGCGCTCGTGGGTCCTTTTGAGTTTTGAACATTTAATGACGTCAATTGAAACTTTTTTATTGGTCATTTTCTTTTAAGTTTCAAAATAAAGTGCTTGTAATGAAAAAAGATAATTAATTATGAAAAACATGTAAATTTGTAGTAAAGAGAAAGAGTAAACATATGGAACTTATTGCCATACATCGGGTGACATTTGCTTGGATTATTGTCCAGGCTCACTCATGCATCCATGCATGCATGTATATATGTATGTAATTTATTTATTTACTTCATGAAATATAATACAATGGAGTTAAATAATATTTTGTCGTCGATCGACCTCATTAACATCATCATCTGACCATTAAATACTATTAATAGCAAAGTCACCTCTAGAAAGGAAAGTACATGTACATATAATATCACAGTTACGTTCACTGACTGATATAAATTTTTCAAATTTTGAATTAACACAAAACTGCATAGTTTTCACTACATTTTCAACATATAATAAGAAAGCAATAATTTGAAAAATTCAAGTTTGATTTTTGTTGCTTGTGCCTACAGAAGTAGTCTCCTTTGCATCCGTTCATCGTCGGGACAGGAATCCCGAAACGCAAACGGATGCGAAGCAACGCCAACTCTTCAAAGGCAAAAATACATAATTTGATTTTTAAATTTTCTCACGAAAAATACACAGCAATGTAACACATACATTTTATTTCTTAAATCCGGTGCTAGGTTTTTTATTAACAAAATAAGTTATGCGCGAGGCCCAGTTTTTTGGAGCGAACTGTGGTGAAAACATGGATCGCCATACTATTTTAATGCTCAACTTCAACTCTTCAAGGGCAAAAATACATGATTGGATTTTCGAATTTTCTCATGAAAAATACCCAGAAAGGTCGCATATAGATTTTATTTCTTAAATCCGGTGCTAGGTTTTTAGGATTGTTTTTAATGTCGCCGCATTTCTTCAAAAAGCCTTGAAATCTGGCCTTTTTTCGTCAAATTTGGCACTTCATACGGACTGTCAGGCCAAGCTTGAGTGATCACGGACTATTTGTCCCCCATAAGTTCCATATGATAGGATAAGTTTTCTAGTAAGCCTCTTATTGTGCGTCAAYAAGTGGACATACAACAAAAAACCTTGTGCAGTTTGATTTTGGCAAATTTCAAGTCTAAAAATTACCGAAAATAATTCTTTTCTCTTAACTGAAAGCGTGAGCGAGACGTGATGGTGTCATCTTGTTGTTAAACTCTCATCGGCCAATCAGAGCACGAGGATGTTTGGGTATAATCTTAATTAGTTATCTTTTTCTCTTCTCTTCAGAGTAACTGTAAAAGCCTACTGTTCTATGGATCTCAAGGAATTTCCAATGGACACACAGTTTTGTTCTCTCGTATTTGAAAGTTGTAAGTTTTTCTGTGCTTCTTAATGTTCAATCATTGGCCGGATTAGCGAGGTCCCACTGTGGCTATATTTACAAATATTTTCAATAGTGCTGGTGGGTCCCGATGTTYTATACTGTCATCCCTTCTCTGATATTRTGGACGCATTTTTTAAATTTTTCAGATGGCTACATTGATAAACATATAACGTTCTTGTGGGAGCCAAACATGAAGCCAGTGCCAGAATCTCTAAAAGAACTACCCCAATATAAACTGAATGGACTGAAATTGTCCTACACATACACAATATACATCGTCGGTAAGAAACTAAAAAATAGATGGATAAATACTCCAATTTACTGTTACATTTGCAACATACACTGCATTTGAATTAGTTGGAAAAATTTGTAAATATTAATAACATGCGTATAATARACAGTAAATATACTGTAAATGTCCTTTTATAAAGTTTGTAAATTTTATATTTTACATTCTGTAAATATCTTGTAAATTTTACTCGATCAAACATTGTAAATATCTTGTAAAATCAATTTGCAAAGTTTGTGAAAAGACATTTGTCTTTGTTTTGGACTTTAAATTGAATAATTTACAGTAAATTTACAGACTCTGTAAATTGATCAACTTTTCCAGTGTACTAAATATCTTATGGGTATGTATAAAAATTGTTACGATTTACAAGTTGCACTGGTACATGTCTTTGGAGACAAAAACCATCTACAGAACTCTTAAAATAGTTGTTCTTATATGTGGCATAATTTACTGTATCTAAGTACTCCTAAATTTGGTAGTCAGTGGCAATTCAAAAAGCCTATCTAATTATATATGCCTTGTTTTAATTTGCCCTCATCTCAATAGGAAATTGGTCAGGATTGAATGCAACGTTTGAGTTTGAGCGGACTTACAGTTACTTTATCTACCATGCATACGCGCCGTCAGCAATTATCGTGATTATATCATGGATAGGATTCGTCCTCCCACGTGACAAACCTCCTGCAAGAATCACACTTGGAGTGACGTCAGTTCTGACTGTAGTTACAATCCTTACCATGCTAAGCAACCACGTTGCTAAGGTGAGTCAAGCCTGCCATAACCTTTGGTAACAGATTCGAGGGTCCTCCGCATGCATCATAAAACCAATGAGAGGAACCGGGGGAGGGTCAAAAGAAAAGAGCAAAAAGTAAAAAAAAGAAGAGCGAAATTCGTGAAATTCCTCATTTTTTGATAAAAATCATGTTTAATCTATTATGCCTTTGTGGAGAAAATAGACCGATTCTAAAAACAAGGCGGACTATTTTATATGGCGAAAGCTTTTGAATTGCTTGTCAGTATAAAACATATCTTATGTAAACTGTCCGCCATTTTTTGGAATCGGTCCGTAAAAATTACAATAACCTTTCATAAAAATTTCACTTGAGGAATTTGCCTTGCTTCATCAAATTACGAATCTTCAATCGAAAATTCAAAAAAAGAAAAAACGATAACAATCAAATGCGTTTTGAGGATTGTTTTAATTTTTCTTTCTAGTTTTATTTTTTTAAGTTTTCTTTGTTTTTAATATAAGGAAAACAATAGTTAATAAAAAGGGGGGTGACGACGCCCCTTTGGGCCCCCTAAATCCTCTCCTGTAGTCTTGTCCTCTATATGTATATCAGAGCTGTGAACGTACATCTATGGAGGTTGAGCGCAGGTTCCTTTCAAATATGTGGTGCGGCCAACTCAAAGGGGTTAGAATTGCCCCACAAAAGTTGTCCTTCGTTTAGCAGCCATATATGGTAATCTTACCTTATTTGGAAGTACGATAGGAATGGTTTTTGTCGATTTTCTCGACTTTTAAAGCTTGAAATCGTCTGAAACCTGCAGATATTATAGCGAAAACACTTCTCAACAATCGGCCATTTTGTTTGTTTCCATATATGGCATGGATTCGCTAAAGGAAGCCCAAAACTAAAAAGCACAGGGAACCCGCACGAATGTCATTTAATTCTTTGATATGAATCATTACTGAGATCTCGTTTTATTTGCCATCAGGTTAACTACGTGAAGAGAATTGATCAGTATCTTATAGGATGTTTTCTATTTGTATTTGGTTCTCTCCTGGAATACGCGGTGGTTTTATTCCTTGGTA